AATAACATGCACAAAAACAAGACAGTGCAAAACCAAGCAACAATATACAACAGAAAACAACAGCAACAAACCAATGACAAAAACAAAACAAAGCAAAACAACAAGAAAGAAAAGCTTGTAGTTAGTTCAAGGGCTGTTTGTTGGCCTTTAGGAGTGTGTTCCAGTCCAGTCTATTGGGGCACCACGCACCATGTGACTTTCTGTATCTCCGTTTGTTTTGTCATCTCTCCTTGGTACTGGTATATTAGTACTGTAACAGTGGATTTTGTCTGCTTAATTCTCTTTTGTAACCCCTAATAAGTCTCATTACCTACTGTTGCAATAACAAAAAATAATACCACAAGGGAGTGAATTGAAAGAACAGAAATTTATGTTATCCTTGGTCTGGAGGCTCTCCATCCCAGCTGCGTGCCTCCTTGTGTTGGCATCTCCTGGTTATGGTGTGTGCAGCGATGATTGGTGTTCTGTCTTTCCCACGTGTGCACATCTCTCCCCGTCTATTCTACTCTGTTTACAATGAGACACCACTTGGAAAGGGATTAAGTTTAGGACCCTCATTAGCGTAGCACAAGGAAAGGCTTTTTTTTTTTTTTTTGTCAAATAAGGTTATATCTACAGGTATAGATGTTAGGTTTTCAGCATCTCTTTTACAGGGAGAGATGCAATTCAATTTGTATTCCCTAGCATTGTGCCAAGTCCTAAGTAGGAACACTATAATTATTTGCTAAAATAAATAAATAGATATGGAAATATTGGTGTTTTTTGTACGTTTTAATAAAATTGAATCCTGGTGGCCAAGTCGGCAGCTCCTTTGGCTGTTAATTTCAAGGTCGGCAGTTTGAAACCACCAACCACCCAATGAGATAAAGACGAGGTTTCCTACTCCTGTAAGAGTAAGTCTGGGAAACCCTAGAAGCTGGTCTACCCCGCCCTATGAGGTCGCTGTGAACCAGACCAATGGACTCCGTAGCAGGGAGGGAGTGAATTGATCTATTGAAAAAAACAAAAAAAACACAGAAAACACACAGTTGTTGTGGAATTTATTCTGACTTGTAACAAGCCTGTGTGTTTCAGAGTAGAACTATGCTCCATAGAGGTTGCAAGAACTGAACTTTCTTCTTGACCCAACTTTAGCGGTACCCCTGGGTAGACTTAAAGCTCTTAATTTTTTGGTTAACAACCAAGTGTGCTCACAGTTTGTTATTTTATGTATTTGTTATTTATAACTATATTGTACTATTACTGTTTGTCTGACTAATTTTTTTAACCCCAATATGGTATTTTTTTCAAAATGCGTCAAGAAAAATAACCTGAGGTTGTATGTTCGATTAAATCTTAGTTATCTACCACTTCTTTTATATTGCTGCTTTCTACCCACCTGCACCTTCATTCTGTAAGATAACTTTTCTCTTGCCAGAAGTTTTGCCTTTTACATAAGACTGTATCTGTGAGAGAAAGCTAAACACATGCCAGAATATGAATCAAGAAGGTACTGTATTTAGAAGATTCTTTAAGAGCTAGCCTTGGTGCTGAAAGAGTAATTGCATGAAATAACAAACGAGCCAGTTACTGTGGAAACAGTTGGGACCCACAGCAACCTCATGCATGTCAGAATAAAACTGTGAACGCTGGTGTTTTTCGTTGATGATTTTTTTAGAAGTACATTACCCAGCCTTTCTTCCTGGTTCCACTAGGTGGACACAAACCTCCAAGCTGTCAGTTCTTAGCTGAATGGGTTAGCCATGTGCACCACCGCAGGATTCCAATAGTATGGAAAAGAGCTTGAGAAAGCCCTGGAATCCTTGGTATTCAAGACCTCTGGTTCCTCTACCCAGGAATGTAACACTATCTGTTTTGAGTAAAACCCACCTTTGGGATCAGACTAGTGAGTATTTACTAAATGACACTTGAAGTTGGAATTTTAAATTCTATGAAAAAGAGAGAATGGATTTTGAGTGGGGAAGCATGTTGATTTTTCCCTAAATCATACCCAAATTGAAACTCTGAATATAATATTTTTATCTTTTCATTGTGGTAAGTATTGTGACTGCTTTAGTACCCATATGTAAAATTTCTGAGACTCTAAGTCTTTATTGGGGCAGGTAACCTTTTCTTTCCAGCGGTGCCACCGGTGGGTTTGAACCACCAACCTTGCAGTTAGCAGTTCAAGGCTTATTCAGCAGTGCCCATGCTTGAGAAATCTTTAGGAACCATATTATTTGTAGTACCTTACAGACATAGGAGAACTTTGGCTTACATGTTAGATACAGGGTTTGTTTGTTTGTTTGTTTGCTTTGAAAGGAAAGGTAGAATTCAAACATTAGGGAACTGTTTGGAAAAGGTACAATCTTTTGTTTTGGTAGAGATACCTTTACCACAGCAGAAGAATTTCTTCATCTCTGGGCAGTACTTCCAGGGCATTCTGTTCTGCATAGTCCCCATTTGATCACATGGATCTTTCTTGATCTAAATATTTCAGTTATTAATGTTTTTCTATTACATGGATGATCATTAGTTGGTTGTTTCTTTATCTTCCTATTTTAAAATAAATCTATAAATTATATTTCTTGGAAGTAACTTTTGTTTTTATTATAAGTATATGAACTCTTTTAAGTATCTTAATACATTTTTAAAATCATGCATCAGTATACTAAAAGACATCATAATCATTCAGAAGAGCTAATTATACATACAAAGACTTTTAGAAAATTATTTGGTGAAGAAATTACAAAATCAATTAAATTGTATGAGAAAATATCAATTCTGCATCTTTGCACAAAAGTGCTTGGTACTCTTAATTTTTTTCTGCATTTATTATTTTAGTTCATACAACTTGTTTATGAATAGATAGAAAGTGACATTAACAATAAAAGTTTACCCTTCTCAGAATGAAATGTCCTATTTCAGATGGTTTACATACATTGGCGTATAGATTATGTGTTGGGCTGCTAACCACAAGGTCAGTGGTTTGAAACCAGCAGCTACTCCAAAGGAGAAAAACAGACTTTTTGCTCCTGTATAGATTTACAACTTCAAAAATCCTGGGGAGCAGTTCTACTTTGTCCTATAGGGTCTCTATGAGTCAGAATTGACTCAGTAGTCGTGGATTTGTATATATTAAGGAGGAACTCTGGTGGCTTTATATACCTTAAGGATCCCCAGCGCACACAGATGTTAGGCTGCTAGATAGGTCAGGCTGCAAGGTTGGTGGTAATTCAAACTCACCATCCACTCCACAGGAGAAAAAATGAAGCTGGTCACTCCCGTAAAGCTCTGTGTTTCCGAAACCCCATATTAGGTCTCTGTGCGTCAGAATGGACTGGATGGCAGGGGAGGTGGGGTCTTTGCTGGGTTTTGTTTTGGTTTATATGCATTGACTCAATTTTTAATTCTCCCAATAAGCATATGAGATTGGGATTATAGATAAATCCTATAGATGATAAAATTTAATACAAATGGGTTAAATAAGCTACTGGGCTCCTGCAACTAATACAACCTTGGAGTCATTCTATTTTTCAGTTTACTACAGCTATGATTATGAGTATCTTAGTTTGCTGGAGTACGGCCATAATAGGAATGCCGCAAGTGGGTGGTTCTAAAGGCTAGATTATAATATTTTCTCTTAGCTGTGGAGGCTAAAAGTGCAATTCAAGGATTTTGCTGTTTCTCTTCTATGAACCGCATGCTAGTGTTTCTGGTGTCTGCCTGGAATCGTTGGTGTTTCTATGCTGGTCGACAGCGCTGTGCACACCATCGCTCTTTCCTCTGTGCGTCATTGTGGCCATTCGGCTCTTTTGGTAGCTCAGAAGTGAATGGGTTTAGGATCTACCCTACTCTGCCATCACTCCAATAGCATGACACAAAGCAAGCTGTTGCCAGGTTTGTATTTACAGGTGCACGAGTAGAATTTCTAAACAGGTCAGTTCAAGTAGTGGGCGTAGAGCCTATAGATATAAAATTACATTGATAATAAGCTGCAAGGTTGGTGGTAATTCAAATAAGACCGCTTTATATTTATGGACAAATTATAACCTAGGCCAAGCGTTTCTAACAAATAAATGCTGTTGAGTTATGGGAGTCTGGTAAAGTAGGATGTTAGACTTTGTAAAATTTTATTACTGGAAGAATAACCCAAAGGTGGTATTTTTTGTAATGTTAGTCTGAGTACTGTTCTTATAATAAGAAGCTTTTACTGATATTCTTTTAAAATATCTATACAGATTTTAATATTGTCATGTCTTTTTCCTGAGCACTCGGGCTTTCATTTATATTTATGTTCTGTGCTTAACCATATTTGCTCAGCTATATATTGCTAGAAGCATTATAATTTGCCAAGTTACAAATTTTTAACTTTTTATTCTGATAGTTCTATGCTCTAATGAAGTGAATTTGTTTCTTGTGAATGTATTTCAGTGCTAGTGATGCCATTAAAGGAGAAGGACTACAAGAAGGTGTAGACTGGCTTCAAGGTATATCCCAAATACTGTGCATTTCTAGTTCTTGTTTCCTTTAGTCACATATTTATTTCCTTGTTTACATTTTATTTTTATCATATCATTGCTTTCCCCCCTCATTTCTGCCTTTTCCTGCTGTCAGAAAAAACATTACAGTAAGTATTCAATATCTTGCTCCATTTCATTCTATTACGTTTTCTGGAGGATTTATTTAAATAAAAGTGATGGCATATTTTAAATCAATATACATAAAACTCTAACAAATAAATGTAGTCTTGGCAATAAATTTGTGTCAGTTTTAGTAATTGAAGCCTGTATGAATTTTGAGGCAAATGTTAGACATTACTGTCAGTAACTATTTCCATTTTTTATCAGAACAACTAAAGATCATTCTTATATGACTCTCTCTGCCCTGAAAAAAGCTATCATAGATTCTACATATAGTCTTATGTAGTGATAAATTTTTTCTTCTATACTTAGTTTTGAACTTTTTGTTGTAAATTAGGTGGTTTACAGAGCCAATCAGTGGTTTACTCAGCAAATCATCTACCTTTTGTTTGATCTCATTGATTTCAGCCCCTCCAGTGTAGCAGGGTGTATTTCATGTCCCCTGTGTTTTCTGTCTCCCTTCTTCCTTCTGCTCTAACGCTTCCCGTTTCCTCTCGGTGTTCTCGGTTGCACCTCCCATGACCACTCACAAGCTTTCAAGACCCCAACCAGGAGTTGCCACACTAGGTTGTAGAACCTTGTCTTTCATGGCCTGTTATGCCAGTTGACCTGAATGCCCCCCAAGACTTAGGGTCCTGCTGCGCAGGTCCAGTGACTTACTCCTTCAAGCTGTTTGGCTATGGCTAAGAAGTTTTCATGTGCACTGCACCCTCCACAACCCACTGCTACTTAATGCCAGTCATGTGGATTTTTTTTCTCTATTGTGTTGACGTAGGCCTTTAACATTTATCATTAAACTGCAGAGAGAATTCTAGTCATATTGTAAAATTCAATAGAAAACCTAGTATTTCTCCAAAAAATTAAGGGTATTTTGTGTTGTTTTTTTCTATAGATCCATTAACATAGTTTCTTAGTTTGGGGTTAAGAAATAAGCAAGGTTGGGGGACTGATTAGCCCACAGAAGAGATAGGTGACAGGAAAACTGGAGAAAACTCCATAAAAAAATCATTCCAGATTTTTTATTTTACGATGTTACAGTGATTGATGATGTCACATGGAGAGAAATCTTACTTTTAGTCATAGTAAAGTAATTAAAAACATAGTACACGGTGTTGGCAAAGGATATTGAAGTACTATGAACTGCTAAAAGAACAAACAGATCTGTGTTGGAAGAAGTACAGTTACAATGCTTCTCAGAGGCAAGGATGGCAAGACTTTGCCTTACACCCTTCGGACGTGTTATCAGGGGACACCGGTCCCTGGAAGAGGAGGACCTCGTGCTTGGAGAAGTGAAGGGGCAGTGACAAGGAGGAAAGCCCTCCACAAATGAATTGCCACCGTAGCTGCAGCAATAGGCTCAACCACAGAACAGTTGGGAGGCTGGTGCAGGGACGGGTGGTATTTCATTCTGTTGTACCCGGGGAGCTCTGAGTCCGAACTGACTCAGTCATACCAGCAACAGCAAGCACAGTACTTACTGAAAACAGACTTGGGTGCTAGTCATCCCGCCTTACAATTTTTGTGTGGTTTATTTCATCTGTAACAATTGGGCCACTAGGTGTCAGAATGATCCAGCATCACAGTGCAACTTGCCAACGCTGGTCTTTTCTCAATCTTTTTGGATCCATTACCTCTGTGCCTTGCCTCCTTAGTCTTTATTTACGTATAGTTAACAAATCTTCTTACAATGTTTTATTTTAAATTGGATGAATAGTTACAGAGCAGATAAGCCATTTAACATTTTAAAATTCAGACACATTTATTTCATCTCATTGACTACAGTCACCACCATTAACAGTACCACCGTTAGGGGACAGTAGAATGAACATGGGCATTGCAAAAAGTGACTCCTATCCTTTTCCCTGGATTGTGGGTGATAGTACAGAAGTTTTTAGTTGCCAGGGGCACTCTTTGTAAATTTTTTTTTTCCTGAAAATGGGGAAGTAGACCAAATAAATTTGGGAACCTGTGATATATAATATTACTTACCTATTTCCTTACTGCACTTCCTGTTTCCATTCTACCGCCTACCTAACCCATCTGACTATTGTCCTTCCATAAATACTTCCTTTTTTATATCCAATAGTTGATTGTTCAAAGGTGTGTGTTCCTCATTGGTGTTATTGTGCCCCTTACAGACATTTTGTTGAGCCATTAGAGTGAGTTCATTTTTAAGTCTGAAGCACCCAACGAGCATGGTCTCGGGAGTTCCTACAGTCTGTCCTACCAGTAAGCCTGGTCTATTTTATGAGTTTGAGTTTCGTTCCACATTTTCCTGCCACTGTGTCCAGACTTTCTAATGTGATCTCTTTCAGAACAGTTGGTAATGGTACCAAGCACCATTTAATTCTGCTGGTTTCAGGACCATCAAGACTGATGTTCACATGGTCCATTATTCTGTTGGACTAATTATTTCTCTATGTCTTTAGTTTTCATCATTCTTTCTCTGGACAGGGAGACACCAATAACTGCACCTTAGATGGTGGCTCACAAACTTTTAAGACCCCAGTCACTGCTGTAGAATGCTATCTTTGTGAACTGTGTTACGCCCATTGATCTTGGTGTGTCCTGACAGTATGGTCCAGACCCCCAGCTCAGGGACTCATTCTCTCAAGATGCTTAGTGACCTCTAAGAAGAGTTCCTAACTTTGCCCCCTGTGTGTTCCACATGTTCGTGGCCCTATTGGCATCCTAGTAGGTACATGCACAGGCAGAAATATCCTCCATAAAATTCATATGTCCATGAATACATGGACATAGTCCTCCTCTTCTTCCCACACCTCTTCATTCTGCATGTCTGTCCATGCATCCACTCATACATTTCAGGCTTGTATGTGTGACGGTATTCACTTCTGTAGCTCTGCTCTTGCACTCCTCCCACGAGTTTCTCTGTCTCCGGTTGTTTTCACTCACCTCCCTCTTGTGCTAACTTGCCTCTCTTTCACCCAAGTGAAGTATATGTTTCCCTTCTAGCCAGTGACCTCTCTTCACTTCCCCTCCCTCTCTGGTGGTTACCATCAAAACTGGTTCTTTGTATGTGAAAACTTTTTCTTGTTACAGTCGTGGTCTCATATAATATTTGTCCTTTTGTAATTGACTGATTTCACTCAAGATAATGTAGTCGAAGGGGTGTTTTCAACACCATCATTATTCATTGTTAATCATTTTATTTATGTGCTCTTGTACTTATGGCTACTTTATTCTACATGATTTTCTGGACTGAGTTCATTTTCTTTGTGGGTTTCTTCTTCGTTGTATTGGTTGTGCTTTATTATTTACTAAATCTCTATGCTTTTTTATTTTGATGAGGTTATTCATTTTCTTTGAGGTTCCCTTGTAATTTATAAATTACTTTCCAAATGTAAAATGGTATGTTCTATCTTGAAATTTATTTGAAATTTCTATAATTACACTATTTTTTTCTTTTTTTCTTGCATTTTCTTCACTGCAAATTGCGTAGGTACCTACTTTTCAGTCTTGCAGGGTTGTTTTACTTTGGATAATTCTATATATAGGTTGCCTTTTGGGTTTTGTTGTCACACATATTAATCTCAAATTGTTACCTACTGGTTTTCTGCCCAATTAACTCTCCATAGTATTTCTTGTAAAGTTGATCTATCTATCTTAAATTCCATTAAATTCTGCTTATCTGGAAATGCCCTAATTTCACTTTCATATTTCAAGTACACTTTGCTAGGTTATGATTTTGATTGGACATTTTTTTCTTTCAGATTTTTATATATGTCTCCCATTGCCTTTTTTTAATTAAAAGATCATTTTATTGGGGATTCTTAAAACTCTTGTTAGAGTCCATACATTGATTGCATCAGGCATGTTTGTACATATGTTGCCTTCATTCATATCTAGACATTTACTTTCTATTGAGCCCTTGGTATCAGCTCCTCATTACCGCCTGCCCCCTTCATACCTTCTTGGTAGATTATTATTATTTTCATATCTTACACTGACCACTGTCTCCCATCCCCCGTGTTTTCTGTTGTTGGAGAATTTTCTTCCAATAAATCTTGGACAGTTTCTCCTGTGCTCTCTCCCCCACCCCCGGCATCTCTTTCTATTCTGTATCCCGTGTAAGTTATTTCTCTTGATGGCTTCCCTTATAATTCTTCAGATTATTGTGCTTTGGATTGTTCTTCTAGCAGATTAGTATTGAGAGATTTGTCTTCAATCTCACTAATTTAGCTGTTGATTCAATTTTCCTTTGCCCTTTTGATGTATTCTCTATTTCTGAAATGTCAGTAATAATCTTTTTTTCTTTTTTTTTATGAAATACTTTTATTGGGGGCTTTTACATCTCTTATTGCAATCCGTACATTCATCCATCGTGTCAAGCACATTTGCACATATGCTGCCGTCATCATTTTCAAAGTATTCTCTTCCCACTTGAGCCCTTGATATCAGCTCCCCATTTCTTCCCCCTCTTTCCCCCGCCTGCCCTCCCTCACGAACCCTTGATAAGTTATAGATTATTATTTCCATATCTTACATCGTCCTCCATTGCCCCTAACCCACTTTTCCGTTATTTGTCCCCCTGGGAAGGGGTTCTAAGTTGATCCTTGTGATCAATTCCCCTTTATCCCCCCACCGTCCCCTAATCTTCCTGGTATCGCTACTCTCATTGTTGGCCCTGAGGGGTTTATCTATCCTGGATTCCCTGTATTGCAGGCTCTTATCTGTAGCAGTGTGCATGTTCTGGTCTAATCCGATTTGTAAGGTAGAATTTAAATCTACAAAGAATTTCTGGATTTTTTTTTCTTTTATTTTGCTTTCACAATTCTGAAATTTTCTAGCATAATAAACAAGAAGGCCTCCGGTTTATTTTGGACCAATTTAGTCTTACCATTACTAGTTTCAGGTTGGAAAACTCAGTAAACAGTAAATGATCTTATAGTGTCATACATATATTTTCTCTTTGAAGGATTTTTCAATAATTTCCTGTGTAACACATCCCAAAGTCAGAAGCCTCCTGAGTTAACTATAAAACTGCTTTAAACCACCAGATAAAGTATGGAAAATATTTAGAGATCTAAATTATTTTTAAAGTTTCTGAATCCTTCAAGTAAGATAATTGTCTAAAAAATTTCACCTAAGTAACTTATTTATCATAAATGTGTATAATGCTTTTAGACTCCTATATAAGATTTTGTAAAACAGTACATGTTGGTTAATGCTTCTAGACTCCTATATAAGATTTTGTAAAGCAGTACATGTTGGTTCAAAAGAACTGAATACACACACTTAGCTTTAGTCTCTCCTCAAAATTACTAACTATGAAGGCACTTTTGAAAAGCCCCACAAGAACAAAGAGAATAGAAACAGTGAAAATGGTAACCACATTTTGGCAAATGGGTATCTGGTGAATGTTGGCCACTAGCTGAATCCCAAATGAACACTGGAAAAAGCTGCTAAACAGCCTGATTTACATTGCACATGCGATGCTGAAAAGAGAAGATGCAGTTATACATCAGGTCTCCAGACTGGAGGTGAAAAGTGCTATTCTTTTTGCACACTTGATGCTGACCTGCAAAAGGAAAATTAACTGAAATATTTCATACTGAATTTAAAAACCCTCTTTGGTCTTCTTTGGCTTGTTCCAACTACTGGCAAAATGCAGGAGATAGATTCATCTTAGAGAAAGTAGAATAGGCTAAGCAAAAAGACCTAATGGTATTAATGTTAGAGTTCCCAAGGAAGTAGCTTAGCCATATACCCAAGAATGAAGATTTATTTGACAAGGCTCATATATTTCCAAGTTTTAATCAGCTATTTTATGGTGTTTAATCATATATATTGGAGATAGCTAATCCAAAAGCCATTTGAAAGCCAATATATATTAAAAAATGAGAGAACCTGAAGTGTAACAATGCCATCAGGGCCACTTCAGGCTAAGCAAGCGGGATGGGGGAACCAGTTCCACATATAGCCAAAGATGATTCCTGAGAAGTGGAAGCCGGATGTCCTCCAACGTATCCCTCCCACCGCACTCTACGGTATTGCAGTGGTCACACAAAATTCATATTCAATACCATTATGGATTTATTAGAGAAGTTAACAAATTACAAATCAGAATCCAAAGTGATAACGATAAAGTGATAAAGGTGATTTACAGCACCTCTTTCTAGCCTTGCCCACAGGCACGGTTCTGTAGTCCTCAGTCTCTCATCCACACGGCCCATGGACTTCTGCCCTGATTCGGCTAGCGTTACAAAGCTCCTTTAGCTCTGCCAATAAATGCCTAAGGGTACTATGCTCTGCCAATATGCCTGAGCCTGACAGCAGTCAGTTCTAGCCCTCTGGCAAAGATGACTCCTGATTGTGTGCCTAGAGACAACCTCTTTCAGCAGCTGTCCTCTTGTCCAAAGGAACTCTGCTTTTGTGCTCCACGAGCTCAGCCCCTCCTCTGTCTTGTTCCAGTTCGGCTGCTGCCATCTCTCTGCCACTGCTCCTCACTATCTCTGGTGTCACAGTTGTCTGTCTCCCAAGTTGAGAGGTTCAGCATAGAGATCTCGGGTTTGAAAAACTGCTGAGTGGACTCATTGCTCTTCTTTCGTGATGATAGTAAGATCCTCTTTTCTACATCTGGGATGGCTCATTTTAAACTTGGTGGAATGATAAAATGAGCCAATCACCCCATTAGGACACCATGTACCTTATCTGCATGTTTCCACTTGGCAAGGGTGCCATGCACCTTATTTATATTAATAGCAAGTTGTTTAATCCCATTGGTGGCACATAAGCACCTCACACTTTCAGATCCCTACCTAGTCATTTGTTAGTGATAGGAAAATGTAACCACAAAAACTGTTGCTGGATGGGCATATCAAGTAAAACACCTCATCACATAAACATAATAGTATACCAAATAAGCAGAACAGAGGGTCTAGAGCTTATGCATGGGAAACATTTTTTAAACTATAATTAATTTCCTAAAATGGTAATAAAACATTCCTTTTATGAATAAGGCCAGGGTGCTGCTAAAAAATAATCAATGAAAGAACAACAACAAAAAAGAGTTTGGGGTAAATAAGAATAGATAATAGATCTACATATAACCCCTTCCCAGGGAGATGAACAACAGAAAAGTGGGTGAGGGGCGACAGGGTAAAGGGTGAAGGTCAGTGTAAGACATGAAAAAAAATTTACAAAATATCAAGGGTTCATGAAGCGGGGAAGGAGGGGGCGGAAATGAGCTGATACCAAGGGCTTAAATAGAAAGAAAATATTTTGAGAATGACTATGACAACATATGTACAAATGTGCTTGACACAACGAATGTATGTATGGATTGTGATAATTGCTGTATGAGCCCCCAATAAAATGAAATGAAAGAGAAAAAGAAAGACCCCCTTTTTTTTTCTTTTATTAGGGGCTATTCCATCTCATCACAATCCATATATTCATCCATGTGTCAAGCACATTTGCACAAATGCCGCCATCATCATTTTCAAAGCATTCTCTTCCCACTTGGGCCCCCGATGTCAGCTCCCCATTTCTTACCCCACCCACCCTCCCTCACGAACCCTTGATAAGTTATAGATTATTATTTTTGTATCTTACATGATCCTCCGTCGCCCCTCACCCACTTTTCTGTTGTTCGTCCCCTGGGAAGGGGTTATAGATTGATCCTTGTGATCGATTTCCCCCTTTCTTCCCCCAACCCTCCCCTAATCATCCTGGTGTGTCTACTCTCCTTGTTGGCCCTGAGGGGTTTATATATCCTGGATTCCCTGTGTTGCAGACTCTTATCTGTTGCAGTGTGCATGTTCTGGTCTAATCCGATTTGTAAAGTAGAATCGAGGTCATGATAGTGGGGTGAAGGTAGCACCAAGAACTATAGGAAAGTTGTGTGTTTCATCGGTGCTATACTGCATCCTGACTGGCTCATCTCTTCCCTGTGACCCCTCTGTGAGGGGATGGCCAATTGTCTACAGGTGGGGATTGCGTCTCCACTCCATGCCGCCCCCACCATTCACCTTCGGTATGATTTTGTTCTGGGTCTTAGATGCCTGATACCTGATCCCATCGACACCTCATGATCACACAGGCTGGTGGGCTTTGTTGCTTCTCAGCTAGATGGCTGCTTAGTTATCTTCAAGCTTTTAAGACCCCAGATGTTATATCTTTTGATAAGTGGGCACCATCAGCTTTCTTTACCACATTTGCTTATGAACACATTTTGAATAAAGACCTCTTTTTAAAAAAAGAATAAATAATAGACATGGGAAATTTAATTGAAGAATTAAAAGATAGAGGTAGTCTCCTAGAAAGTACAGAAAAGTAACAAGATGGCTTAGTTATCCATTGCTGGTATAACAAATACCACAAGTGGATGATGTTAATGAATTTATTTTTCTCACAGTTGAAGAGACTGAAAATCCAAATTTAGCATAACAACTTGGGGAAGGGGATTGAGAGGCTTTTTCTCTTTTTCAGCTCTGGATCAAGGTCTGTTTCTTTTGAGATTTTGTATCTGTGCAATCCTCATGGATTGGCATCTCTCTTCGCTTGTTTAATCTCTTATATACTTCAAAAGAGATATCTTGAAACTCATCCTACAATAATCCTGTCTCTTTAACATAGTAAAGACAACCCATTATCGAATGGGATGATAAGCATTGTCATAGAAGTTAGGATTTACAAGACATATTTGGGGGCAAGATATAATCTCATCCATTACAGGCCATGTCCAGGAGACCCACTATTCAAATAAAAAGAATTTCAGAAAAGAAAAACAGAAGAAACAATGGGGCACAAAGTTCAAACAATATTTTCCGCAACAGAAGGGTTGGCCTGTAGTTTAAAATGCTTCTCAAGAGCCCGATGCTCTTGAGAATAAAAATAGCCTCACATCAAAGGACATCCTTATGAAACTTCAGCATGAGAAACCATGAAACTGCAGTACAAAAGAAGATTCGACAAGTTTCCTGAGAGAAAAATAGGTTTCATGTGAAGGATAAGGAAACAGATGGCATCAGATTTCTCAACAGTAGCATTAGATTTTTCAACCGTAAAACTTAGAAGCCGGGATATATTGAAAATCCTAGAAAATCCAAAGGAAAATGATGGAATTATGTTGTTAGGCAGTATTAAGGTAATGTGGCCAAATAAAGATATTTTCAACTATGTTATGTCTCATAGTTTATATTTTATGTATTTTGCTAAGCTACCCAGTAATTGGTGTGCTGCATAAAAACAAGGACATAAACCATAAAAGCGAGAAAGTAATCATAGTATACTGTTTATGCTATGAATAGCACTTAGATAATCATATTGATAATCACTATATGATTATGTTAGGATGGTAAGCTTAGAAGCATCATGATGGGTTGTGGCGTTATTAGCATGAGAGCATGAAGGTGAACCTTTCATTTAAGAAGGAATAGTGAAGGTAAGTTTCGTGACTGGGAGGGACCAGGACCACCTGGAAGGGAGAAAATGCATGTGGGTGCCTTTGAAGGGAAGAGAAAGGCTGAGGCAAGGAATTGCTATTCTCCGTGCAACTTTGTATAGCTTCTTGATTTTCTAGCTGTATGTGAAACTTTGGTAAAAATTAAAATCTCAATGTGCCTTTTTAAACTCAGTCTGTGACTAGGTTTCTTCTGTTTGGATTGCTTTGAAAAAATGTTTTCCCATGTGGACTCAATTTTTTGTTTGTCTGTCTGTCTGTTTGTTTTTATCAGATCAGATCCAGGCTGTGAAGACATGAAAAGATAGTATTTGGAAACCTCAACAATTTTCAATTCAAGGAATTTATATTTAAGTCAACCTGAAACCTTTAAAGGTTCTGAAAGATTTCTGTGCATCTAAGAATGCGTTATAATATTCTGCTTTTATTTATGGACTTCAAATTAGCTTTTTAACAATATAGGACTTCAGTTATGATAACTTGCCCCAAATTAGTTCTTCTCTCAGAAGGGTTCCCTAGAATTATCAGCCTCTTGGTAAAGGTCTGTATTCAATTAGAATGGTATAAGCCAACTCCATGTCTCATCATGATTTAGTATATATTTTATGCATTTAGTTTTTAAATTGTCTGTTTTTAAATTTTAATGTATGATATATAACTTCACAGTATGAATTGTGCTTGCAAAAGAAAAACTTTAGATATGTATAAGGGACCAGGGTCATTGAGCCATATTAAATTTTTGCTATATGTATCCATTAATAAAACATATATACTATACCAATCATTGTGCTTGATTTATGATGAAAACAGTACTGTTAAGGTGATAATGGTGTTTTACTTTCATTCATTTGTAAATGATGTAAAAATAAATGTCCTTAAAGAATATTTCTTGAACATCTCTACACCGATCAGCACAGTTTGTCCTAGGCAGTGGCGATACCAGGTAAAGAAGGCATAGTTCCTGCTTCAGAGACATAGCACTTAATGAGGGGATTTAAGACCCTTTCATACATAATATCTGCTTTTATCTCATCGGCCAATTGAAAATATTGTGCCTTAATATTAAGTGATACAAAAGTTAACTGATGTTTGATTCTTCAAAGTGTATTATAACTTACTCCTTGTTTCTTCTATTTAAATGCCTCCAATTTACTATAGTGCTTTTCTAAATAGAGTGAATAATTAAACTGACTTTCCCTGAGCTTTATTAGTGTTCTTTAGAATTTAAGATATAACGGGTATTTACTGTATAAAAATTATGTTACTTCTCACATGGAAGAAGCACACCAGCCTGTGTGATCACGAGATGTTGAAGGGATCAGGCATCAAAGAACAAAAAATCATATCATTGTAAATGAGGGTGAGTGCAGAGTGGAGACCCAAAGCCCATCTGTAGGCAACTGGACACCCCCTTACTGAAGGGTCACGGGGAGGAGACGAGCCAGTCGGTACAGTGTAGCAACAATGAAACATACAACTTTCCTCTAGTTCTTAAATGCTTCCCCACCCCACCCCACAGCCCCCTATCATGATCCCAATTCTACCTTACAAATCTGGCTAGACAAGAGGATGTACACTGGTACAGATAGGAACTGGAAACACAGGGAATCTAGGACAGATGATCCCTTCAGGACCAGAGGAGAGAGTGGTGATACAGGGAGGGTGGAGGGAAGGTGGGGTAGAAAGGGGGAACCGATTACTAGGACCTACATATAACCTTCTCCCTGAGGGACGGACAGTGGAGAAGTGGATGGAGGGAGACGTTGGACAGCTTAAGACATGACAAAATCATAATTTATAAATTATCAAGGGTTCATGGGGGAAGGGAAAATGAGCTGATACCCAGGGCTCAAGTAGAAAGTAAATGTTTTGAGAATGATAAGGGCAATAAATGTATAAATGTGCTTGACACAATGGATGTATGCATGGATTGTGATAAGAGTTGTATGAGCCCCCAATTTTTAAAAAATAATTGTATTTCTCACAACTTAAATGAAGACTACTTTTAATAGTGTACTTTTCAAGCTTTTATTTTAATCTCTGGAAGACAGTTCTTGTAACAGTGGTGTCAGTCCTGGGGAGAAAAGGTGTATGTAATGAAACAGTGAATTATTGAAAGTTCTGCCCTATCACCAACCCCCGTTGTTTGTGTGAAAGATGTCCAGTTACTTAAAGGCTTCATCTATAAGTCAACAATTCATGTATTACAGTCTGAAATCAGCCTATACTTGTATGATTTCCTATTCAAAACAGTTTTAAATTTTATACCGTTGCCTAAATTAATGACAATATCAGTAGAATTACCTTAGTCCCATGAGAATGATTTATAATGTTCTCTATCACAAAATGGTAATGATGTTCTCTAATGTGAACCAGAGACATCTATAAAACAGAGATTATGAATAGATTTATGGCTCACACTTAATTCTAACACCAGTCTAAGAACAACTAGTTCTTATGACATGGCCTTACTCAATATTTTCCTTCATTAAGACATCACTGAAGATATGGGTGCTATAGCAAAGTGTGGTGAAGAAACCACATGGTGCCCGGCTATCAGAAAAAAATATAGTATCTGGGGTCTGAAAGGCTTGTCTTAAATCACAGCCAACTAGATGGTGTTGGAGAAGAATATTGAAAGTACCATGGACTGCGAAAAGTAACAAATCTGTCTTGGATGAGGTACAGCCAGAAAAGCAGCATGACAATATCAAAATTGAATAAAACACACATAGTCATCATAAATGGAAATTTGCTATTTGAAAAAAAAAGAAAGAAACCACATTTAAATAAACAAATACAAAAACTGTTCATCTGAAGGTGAAGGTCACCAGGACTGGGACAGTACATTGGGAAGAATCAAACAGACTATATTTCAGAAAATGATAGCATTTCCAGAAGAAGAAGAAAAGAGGGGAAAGATTTAGAAAATGATCTCTGGAAGACTGGAAGCAAAGAATCCTGCTGCACTCACCAACAGAGCGCAGCTGACCACACACAAAGGAAAATTCTATATATAAGAACTGAGATCATACTTGAGTTCTCTTAAAAGTCAAGCAAAAATATTTATGAAAGTATCTTCAGAAAGCAGCATAAAGAGAAATCATAAAACCGAAAAGAAAAAACCAGCCAACTAAATGAAGCAGCAACTAAGTCAACGTGGAAGAATCACACTAGCCTGTGTGATCCAAGGATTGTAAATAAAATTCAATCTGTAAGGAGGAAATTATATCAGAGCTTAAATTGTGAACACCCAGTTTTCAGAGGCTATGGGTGACAATGGAAAAATTAACTTTCAGGTTCCTCACATGGATGGAGCATCCCCTCTGACCATAGTAAATTGCCTCTGACCATCTTGGAGGGATGTACATAGCTTTGCTATGAGGCAGAAAGCACTGCAAAGTTCATTGTGGCAGATGTAGTTGGGTTAAAATGTACCTTATCATTTGATACCCCTTTTGACCCATTTTAAATTTGCTTCAGATTTTTAATATTTTCTTTTTAATTGAGGTTTTTCAGTCATTATTGTTGGGGCTTTTTGTGTTTGCTTGCTTCTTGTTTGTGTTTTATATCATTTTCTGTATATGAAATCCAGGATGGATGGATCTATAGAGACAGTAACTGGATTGATAATTGCCTGAGGGCATGGCAGGGGTCGACAGGAAACTGGGGCACCAGCAATTGGAGAAGTAAATGTTCCAAAATTGACTGTGGTGATGATTGCACAAACCTTAATATGACTCAACAATTAAATTGTATTTGTAAAGTATATTCCATCGAAACTATTGGTATAAAAGAATATTCAAGGGTTCATGAGGTAGGAGGAGTGGGGAGAGGGGGGGGGATGAGAAGCTGATGCCAGGGGTTTAAGTGGAGAGCAAATGTTTTGAGAATGATGAGGGCAATGAATGTAAAAATGTGCTTTACACAATTGGTGTATGTATGGATTCTGATAAGAGTTGTATGAGCCCCTAATAAAATGATTTTTTTTAAGTATGGTACTAAAAAACACTGCTGTGTAGTTGATTCAAACGGATAGCAGACAGCCTCTTCTTTCTCCCAGAATAGCTGATGAGTTTAAACTTCAAACCTTGCATTTAGAATGCTGTCCAACACTTACCCAACCTTACCACCCAGGCTCCATATATGATACCGGAGCTTCAAACATTTGTGAACAAATGGAATTAGAAGATAATGATTTTTCCATAATTAAACTTTAAGAAACTTACAAGTTGAGTGGGGCTTTGCAGAGGAAATCATCCATTATACTTCAGGACTTTATACCTGTTTTGTTTCAACGCATCTATTTCAATATTCTTAGGTATCCTCACATCTCTCGTTTTCTCCTTGTGTCTCCTATTTGTATTTCTCCTTTCTTAACCCTCTGACTTTGTCTTTGGGTAAATGCTGCCTTTTGTTTGTTTGTTTGTTTGATTGTTTAACTTTTTATTGAGATTTGAGTGCATTTATAGTGCCGATTAATGCCCCATTCAACAACTTAGACACATTTGTATGTCTGGCACAATACAATAGCACTCCTCGCTCTTCATCCCTCTACATGCCATTTTTTAAAAATCATTTTATTAGGGGCTCATACAACTCTTATCACAATCCATACACACATCAATTGTGTAAAGCGCATTTGTACATTCATTTCCCTCATCATTCTCAAAACATTTTCTCTCCACTTAAACCCCCAGCATTAGGTCCTCATACCACACTATTGCTAGTACTACCCTTATATTGTGCTGAAAATTGAGCCACAGTGCTAAGTTCAGTTCCAGGTTTGAAGGAGGACTAAGGGCCACAGGCTTGGGTGTTTCACCAGTTTCTATCCAATGAGTAAATCCAGTCTTAAGATTTGAGTTGTGTTCTACATTTTTCTTCCATTCTATCCAGAAATGTCTAATGTGATGCTTTGCAGGGCAGTTGGTAGTTGTAGCCAGACACTACTTAGTTCTGGTCTCAGGACTGATTCCACAAACTTTTTGAAGCTTCCTTATAATTTATTGACATCTATATGAAAATGATAAAAATGGAACTGAAAAGTTAAGTGCTTATTTTACAAAGTAGTAAATTTACAAAGATTTGAATATTTAAAACTACAATAAAAGTTGTACATAAATCTAGCTTTATATACTCCAGAAGTCTCCTAATTGGCAAGTTAAGATGTATCCAGAAAACATCTAAATTCAAAATCAGCAAAGCAATTCATTGAGAATACATACGGAGCTAGAATCTACGCTGGCCTAGAAAGAACTCATGAAAAACATGGCCATGCTTTGTAGTTCTCCAGAAGTGGAGTTGAATTGCCCCTGCATTGAATATGAGCTGGACTCAATTTGCTTTAACTAATAGAATGTGGCAGACAGGATGTTATTCAAATGCTGGAGCCTAATCAAGAAACATTGCAGCTTTTAGCTGCTCCAGCCTCAGCCCTGTAAGTGAAGCCATCTTGCACTTTAACCAGTTGACGCTCCAATGGAATGCACTTATGTGCATGATGTTATATGAAGCCAAAGGATGTCACTATGGAATCATAAGAAATGATGGCTGTTGTGAGCCTCCAATTGTTGTAGTGGTTTGTTAAGCAGCAATTGAGCAGAATAGACCAAATAGGATTAATTAGACTTTTGGAATCGGTAGGAATGGATACTTACTCAAGCTGGATTAACAAATTAGGTCATGTTTTAAGGCATATGTGCTTGACTATGGGAGAGTAATCTTACATATTAGTAAGAATTAATGGGGCAATTTTTGTGTATACAGAAATTGGAAGGACATCTCCATTGAGGAAGTTTAGGTAGCAGGAAGAGTTAGATCTCCCAGCATGTTTCATTGATGTCTGCATATTCTCATTTATTCCTTGTCAAGTGATTAATTAGTATTTCCAG